CACACACACTCACACACACACACACGCAAACACATGCGCGCGCGCACGTTGAGTATTAGAGCAACACTGTATCGCGAGTGCAGCGCCGCCGAGGCCGAGTTGCTGTCAGACGGTGTTTAACCTTTGTCGTCTTCGCTCGTACTGATTACGCGTACCGATCGGTGTGTCATCATTTTTGCTCCCTCTTTCTTTCTGTCTCGCGCTACAGTCCATAGCGCTTCCAGTCGAATACAATATTATTATTTTAAATTATAATTTAAACCGTCCGCCAAAATGACCGTCATCACTATGCCGACGACCGAGAAGAAGTCGGACAACGTGCCGCTGGTGACCAACATTGAGATCGACCCTTCTGTCCAGGTGAGTCGCCGTCGACGGAGACGGAATTGTATTTCCCGTATTTTTTTCGCTTCATATCTCCCTCGGGTGCTCGTCCTGCGGAGTCCAGACTCGAGACGCAATATCGTTAATACTTTATCCGTTTCTTTAGACTTTTTGCTATTTCGCGTTTTACGCCTATCTGTATCGCGCAACCTATTTGACAATACTATCGGACGTGCTATATTATAAATTACTATCACGGATATTAAGCCTAGTCTATCGTATCATCACGATTTGCGATAATAATATTTTTGTTCTGGTTCTGGAACAGCCGCGATATTGTCGCGTTCGTGCCATTGACAACAATAACAAAAACAGGAAAACGGCGATTGCGAATTTGTGAAGTACGTGTCACGTACACCTACCTACCTACCTACCTACCTACCTAGCCCGATGACTCGTTTGCGCTCGTCTACCTTGTAAAACGACTATAACGAGCTTATGATAATTGTAATATAATTGTCACTATTGTTGATTGTTGTCGGGGAGGCAATTCTATAATTAGCACAATGTTATTTCAAAGAGATTTATATAATATTTATTATTTACAAATTGTAACATCATTTGAATTAGACGATTTTTATAATACATAATAATTATGATTTTTGTTTCGTTTACAATTATTATTGAATACGTCATCAAATGTCTGGGTTTTATATGTTTAATTTTCGTTTAGTCATCGGCTGGTCTCTATGGGACTTACAATAACATTCCTGTTACACATACATAAATTATTGTTGTCAAGTTTCAATGTCATTCAATTCCTATCTTAATGTAAACGATAATATGCTTGGCTGTGAGTTTTTTTGTTTATTTATTTTTTTATAACATGTACTATCAATGTAGTATTTTTGGGCTCAAGCCCAAATTATTACACACCTAACAAGTGGTAATCTATTAGCATTGTATATGTTTTCATTAGAGAGCTCATTGTTTGCCAGCCATTCACAAAGAATCTTTTGTTTTCTATTATGTTGTGTTACCAAATGTATTACTTGTGCGTTTGCAGACCTCATTCTGTAATAAAGCTTTGACTTTTCCCTTGACGTTGCAACACTCAATTCTGTATATCTTCATTATTTTAAAATTTTTTGTATCTTATACTGAGTGTTGGGTACCAGCATATTTTTATGTTTGGAATATTTCCTGAGTGTTACTTAAGGCATGATATGTTTTTATATATTGTTAATTGAAATATAGGGGCATTTTTTTCTTCATATTATTACTTGTGGACAATGCTAGTGTTTATTAATAAAATCTTTGAATTGATTTTAGTTTATCTTAAAATATTTCTATTGAAATTATTATTATATTTAATTATATTTTTATACATTTCTTACCTCATAATTTATTATATTTTGTTATGACAATAAAACATAAAAAACAACACTAATCATATTTTATATGGGTATTAACTATTAATTTAGTTAATAGCAAGCCTTAAATGAAAGTTAAAAGAAATTTAATTTTGTTTTTTACTATATTATTTATTTTTATCATATTGAAATAACAATGATATCCAGGTTCTAGACAAATATTTAACATTACAAATTTTATTAAACACAAGTTATTTATTTGATAGTGTGACAATAAAAAGTAAAATATTTATATTGTTGTATATTTTAATATTAATATTATTGGATAAATAGGTAGGTATGTAGTAAATTTTTTTTTTAAATTAAAATTTTAACCAATGATTTGTTTTATTTCTTATTAAGTTGTTTTCAACTGGTATGCCCTGAATGTTGAAACTGTTATATTCTTTTAAATTTAAAAGTGACCAAAAATTTTAAGTCAAATGTGTTTAACTTTGATTAAGTGTAATAAGTAGATCGTGATTAAAAAAAAAAAGAGAAATAAGTAACAAGAGAAATTTACTTTTGGATTTTCTGTTGAATATTCTATTTAAAATTTTATATGTGCAGTCATGTATTTATTAGTATTTTGGTAAAAAATTATTAATATAAATATTTTACTATGTTCATAGTATATTTGAACAATATATGTTATTGAGACTTACTGTGAAAATTTGGTAAAAATAAAATATACTGTTTTTCAATAAGGTTGAACACTATTGTCTTAAATTGTTGTAGATTATTTTATTAAATATCCAAACAAAAATATAAGCACAGTTTCTAATACACCCTGTATTATATCACGTAACTATTTAGAACAGGGTAAGAACTTACATATTTTGCTCAAATTTGTTATTCTCAATTTGTGTACAGAATATTTTTTAGGAATTTAAATGTAATTATATTTTTAATTATTGTTTGAATAATTAAGCATCCTGAAAAAGTGTTTTGAGGTAGTAGTTGTTCTGGCATTCGATTTCAATAATTTACATTAATATTTGTCTTTTATAAAACATTACTAGTAAAAAAAAAAAAAAACAATATTATTTGATTGGCTGATGAAATCTATTATAAAATTATTATCCTGCACTGTGATAGTCATTAATTAACATAGTTAATCGTTTTTCTGTTAGCTTACAATTATTTTTGTTATTGTTTATCATCAATTTATCGTTTTGTTAGTTACTGACTTATTCTGGCATATAAAATTGAGTTTTCACCTTATAAATGTAATTTGTATTACTGACCATATTATATGTGGTATTTCTATTAAAAAAAAAATGTTAAAATTTGTAGTTGACTATATAGGAGTGACATATTTTTTTCAGTAAAAATTATACAAAAGTTTGCCGATTTAAATAAAAACAAATATGGTGACCCTATATTTGATACGTTATTGTATGAATAAATTCATTAAAAATGATTGGTTTTTATTTAATTTAAAAGTGAAAATCTCATTAGTTAAAATGGAATAAGAGAAATATATTTCACAAATAATTTTTGTAAAATATTGAGATCATAAAAAGTGTCAAAAATCTAAGTTATCAGTGTACTATCTATCTGAATTAAACTTAAAAAAATATTATAGGTGGTGCTTAAATACTAATAATTGCAGTAATAAATATTAGGTAGTTAAAGATATTTAACATGTGATCTTAAAATAAATAGTAAAGCTACCTAGGTTAGGTATTTATATTGTTAAAACTTTAAAGATGCTATACAACCGCTTTAGGTTACTCTTGAGAAAAATTAGAATTTAAAAATGTAAATATATTTTAATTATATTTCAAGGTAACTTGCCTGTAAGTACTAAGTTCTATTGTTAGTTGTATAATAATACAATTAATAAAAAAAATAGTCTTTGTAGAAAAGAACTTAGAGGGCCATTGTTATAAATAAGAAATACATATTTTATCATTTAAATAAAAAAAATTAGACTATGTAATAACATTTTAAATTTTTATTTATAAAAGTATATGTAAAGTAAGAAGGCGTTATTAAAGTTTGAACAATATAAAATAACAGAGTTTAAAATCATAACAACTGCTCTAGCAAAACAAGTATTTAAGATTTTAAATAACCAATGTAATAAGTACCTACAGTAATAATGTGTTTTATCTGAGATTCATCGAATCATTAGATTATTAAAGTAATGTATTAATTATTATGAAGAAGTTGCAAGGCGAAAAACTTATTCTACTTCCAGAATGGGTAAAACAAATCAGTAGGGTATAACATTTTTAAATATCATACATTATTTTGCCATTTTTTTCAATAAACTTGTAGTTAACAAAAATTAGTTTTTTAAAATACAACTTATGCACATTAAATTTGCAATCACTTACAAAATTATGTACATTAGTATTACATGATAAGTATATATAAAGTATATATTTTTTATGATAACATATTACAACTTTTTTAATCAAAAAAATTTTTTTTTTCATTTTTGTAATCAATACAAATTTTTGTTTATTAAAAATTACCCTTAGAACATTTATAAGAAATTTTGATTTTGAAGAAGTAGGTATTAAAGTCAGATAACTGATATTGTTAACTTAGAATATAGTGTTATTATTATTAAAAAAAAAAATAAACATTTTGATTTGTGTCATAAAAATATGATTTGCTTGTTTTTAAAATTTAGTGTTTTACTTTTAAATATTAATTATTTTAAATATAAGCTTGGGTTTACTTACTCAAGTGTTCAGAAGTTTTAAAACTTGTTATCTCTTTTAAGGTTTCTTAAGGTAACAAACATATTATTATAATTTATATTAAAAAAAATTTTGTATCTCTTATTTCATAATTAGCTGGGCACATAGTATCAACACTTTTTCATTAATTTGTAATGTCCTAATTCTGAATCTATTTATATGATATATTAAATATACATAATATATATATATTTTAAAAATATAAGATATGTAACTGTAGTTATGCATGTGATTTATTTTAAAATTAGTTATTAAATATGTATGTATTTTATTTTTTATTTTTCAGGAAAAGGACTTGGAAACAGGAAATGGTGTACATAATCGCCCAGTCAGATCTAAATTTTTAGTGCTCAGAGTCATTAATGATCGTGTTTATTCTATGTGGGCATTAATTTATATATTACTGATGTCATTAGTAATTACATTTATGATGCTTTATGGGGAACATATTTATAGAGCTATTGGAAATGCTTTTAACGATGAGGTAATATTTTAAATATTGTAAATAATAATTTCATTAATTTTTTTAAACATTTATTTTAATATTTTATAATTCCTCATCTAACAATGTTAGTACCTCTCTTAAGGTTTGTTAGACATTTGTTATTCTATTTGCTATTATCAAATTGACTAATAATCAATGTTAACAAAAACATTTTATATTATTTTATATGGAAGGTTTAAGTTCATATTGTTATCTATTTATATGCTATAAAAATGTTTGAAATTCTTTATACTCTTAATATTTTAATCCTATTAAACCTGTTTGTAATATTGTAATCTAAAGTGTTGATAGATATCTAATATATTATACATATGTATATTATATATATATTTATAGTACATGTAGAAAAAACACTAAAGTAAAAACGATAATAGCTAATATTATAGGTAGGTATCTACAAATTAATATTATTCTCTGAAATACAGTTTTTATTGCTTTGTTTTTGTTAGTTTGTAATGTAATAATTTTTGTATATATTTTATGCTTGAAAAATAATATTCATATTAAGTACTTATAAATGTGAAACAATTTAAACATTAACAGTATTTAATGTTGAGTTGACAAACATTTTGTTATATTTAATCTACTTCTGCAAACAAATTTTTAGTCTTATATAATTAAAAAAAATAATAAAAAGGTTAGGGATAAAAATAGGTTACTATTTAATTATAAAGATAATATAATTAAAAAAAAATTTAAATAAAGAGAAAGATATTATCACTGTGAATTTTGTTGTGGTTGAAATATTATGTTATATTTTTATTAAATAATAAGCTAATTTTTTTTGGATTTTTTGAAATTTTAAAAATCAAATAATCTTATTTTGTAAGAAACTTTTTGAGTTAATACACTGTCCTAAAAAATCAATATTTAATGAAATTTTAAAATTATTATATGGTTTATTATTGTGAATAATTTCTTTAAATTCTAAAAAAAAAAAATTAAAAAAGAGAAAAATAGTTTAATAATTTATTGTGTAATTTGTAATGTTTACACAGCTGTACAGCAGTTGTTGCCTATAGGCAATAAGTAACAGACAACTTAAACAATGTATTTACATATTGATTTTTGAGTGGGTATGTGTGAGAATTATTTACGGTTTTCTATTAAATTACTAACAATAAAGTTTTTATTTAAGTCATGGTTGTTTTTATATTTTTTACATCTATATACTCTAATGATGTGAATTTTTATAGATAATACTTATGTATGGTATAAAAGCTGCATAAAATTATTTGATCATTAGCTATTGGTCCTGATTCATTAATATTCATTATTATTTTTAAAAGTTTAGTTAAATTTAAGTTAATACTTATTTAAACATTTACTTGTAACATATCATTTTTATTTTATTTTCATCAATAATTAATGTAATGCATGTGATTTTACATGAGCTATGTTTATATAATTTGTATAATTAAAAAAAAAAGAAGATTTTTATTATTAACTATCTATACACTATTTAAAATATGAATACATATTATAAAAGTTTAATATTTGTTTTAATATTTGAAACAAGACATTTAATTATATGATATAAAAAATATACAACTATCTTTACTTATATGATCAAACTTAATGAGAAAGCGATAGTTTTTTTTTTTAATGCAATTGTCATTAAGCATATTTCTTCATCTTTAAATTACTTTTAATCTATGTTAAAATCTCTAATAGAGATTTGCTTCAATGTTAAATTCATTTGATTAAATAAAATTGTGTATTACTTAACACAACAAGTAATGTGTAATTAATTTCTTATTATTTTTCTTATTTTGGTAAATGTTTAGTATTATTAATATTTTTACTACAACTTTTAAAATACCAGTATCAATTTAAAAATGTTAAAATCAATTAAAGCATAAACAATTTCTTGTTATGGTATCTTTAGTTATGTATAGTAAAACATTAAAATATTGAAAGTAAATGTTTTTTTTTTAAGTATTCAAAATAATATATTAATTATAAATTAATTGAGTAATTTATTTTATTGTTTTTATAAGTATAGTACATATTTTTTTTTTTATTATTATTTTCATTATAGAATGATGCTTTCTATGGAACTGGCACTATTGCTTTAAATGATAAGTTAAATCTTCCCATTCAAGATCTAAACAATGATTACGAACTGAATCAACTAAGAAATGATATGGAGTTCAAAAAACTTGAGGTAAATATGCGTTTAATAATTAGACCTCAGTCTTATTGTTTCAAACATAACAAAAGTATTATTATGTTTATTACTAGTTTTTTATTTGCATTTTATAATTAAATAGGATATGTATTTTAATATTTAATTTATAGTCACATAAAATAACCTAACAAAATATCTTATTTAATATTGTTTTTTAAATTATAGAACTTTGCTTTGAATTTGGAAAAAATGAACAACCCAATGATGAACTCTGAAGATGTTATTTCTGAATTTAAAGAAGATTTTGAACTTGATCTTAAAGAAGATAGTTATGAAAAAATTCTTCCAATTTTACCACTTGCTAATTCTGCTCGTTTTATTCATGATTTTAGCGCGGTATTTTAAATATATTTTTTTCAAAATAAACTTAATATTTATTATTAATTAATTTTATTTCAGAATGTCACTGGCATTGTAGATATTGACGGTAAGCGTTGTTTTATTATGCCATTAAACCGCAGTGCAGTATTGCCACCAAAATCCTTATATGATTTGTTGTTTAAAATGTCCAGTGGTAAGTTATTATGAAAGTTTATTAACTATAAATTAATATTATTACTATAAGTTGCTAAGTATAAGTGTTTTTTATGTTTTTGGTAACTTTGGGTTTGGTTATAGCCATTTTTAGTTTGCTTATTATTTTATCAAAAAAAAAAAAAAAAAAAATGTATACAAATGATTAAAAAAGGATTTGAAATATTATTTTTCTGAAAAAAAGATAAAGTTTTTAGTGTTTTTATGAAAATTAAATACAACAGTTTGTAGTAAAACTTTGCAAGTTAATCAACTGTTGGTATTGTTAGATCTTAATGTAATCAATTTTATCCATATTAATAAGTATACTTTTGTTTGATTTACTCAATAATTTTTTGTATTTTGTTAATATGTTGGGATGGTATAATTTATAATAACATATATATAAATGGTCAGATATAGAAGATTGGTTTTATAATAGTTTCGTATGTTTGATAAAATTAATGGTATAGTGTTGTAAATTTTTGTATGTTTTATTGTTAGCATGTTGTGTTAATTATATTATTTTGTCTAGTGGAGTCTAAAGTATTCAGTTTGGGATTGGCTAATTATAATTGTATTTGATTTATGGACATTAGTTCTCATTTAAGCAAAAATTTATTGTTTTATTCATTTTTATCTTTCATTTATAAGCCTATTTTAAATTGTTTGTATACATGTGTAGTTATGACATTATTTTCTGTTAAATTTGAATCTACATTGTAGGATATATAATGTTATAATGGCTATTGTATGATTGTTTCGTATGTGTTAAAAACTTGGAAATAATGTTAGTGTTGAATATAATATATAATAATGGTGTTCCTAATAAAGTGATTACAACATTGAACTATATATATCTAGTATATGAAATGAATACTTTTATTTGCTGATAAGTGCATTCTGGTAATTGATGCTTATTTATTTTTTTGTATTGAAGTCTAGAATGGTAATGTAATTTATGTTATATTGTAATATTTTGTTATTATACTATATCAGCATTTGAGGTTGTTGCATTAGTAATCAGAACTATTTATCATTATTTATGAACATTGTACTGTAGATTTTTGTGAGTAGTACTTTAGTGACAAAAATGATAGGATGTATTTTGAGTTGAAGAATCTGAAATTTATGGTTAAATTGGTAATAGGTTTTGTTATGAATTGTTAATTTGTATTGTTGATAATAGTTTATGAGTATATAAAATATAATTTGTTGATATTGTTATCTATTTTTTATAAATTCATGTTTATTAAAATTGAACAACAGTATTTAATTGTATTTAATTTACATGCACACACATGAATTATTATGATTGTGCTGTTTAACAATAGTGTACATAGTGAATATTAAATATTAATTTAAGTTGACAGGTTTAAATTAATTTAAATTTCATTTTTCATCACTTCTTTTTTTGTGATTTTATAAATCATTGATTTAATCAATATGAGATTTATTAATTTATTTTAATAAATTACTGATACCCATATTATAATATATTTTAAATATTGTGTTTTATAATATTAATATATTAATAGGTTATTATGCCGTCGATACCAGTAATGTGATGCACAATATGCGTGTGGTGAAACCAGCTGTTGAAGATCTCACAGAATATGGCATTTATATTGCTAAAGATTGTGCAGGTTTTCCAACTTATAAACTGGAAAAAATTGTTTCTGGAGGTGTGTAAAAATAAAATCAAGTTATTGTAATATTTATATGAAATTATTACATTTTATATTTTAATTAACAGCTGTTAACATTTAATTTGTGCATGTGCATTAATTATGTTTCATATTATTATCTAGTTATTTTATTTGATATGACATTCTGCATGAAACTAGCTTTTGGTTAGTGGAACATTTTATTATTGTATTTAAGCTTTAAAAATAAATTTATATTTTATATATTATCTTATCAATGTGATACAATTTTGATTCTCGTTTTAAATAAATTATGATATATTATATATGTGTATTTAAAGCTGAATAATATCTTATTTACAATTTTTATAATATGTCCTTTTAATCCTTTAAAGTATAAAAACAATACTTTATTTGTACTACACCATCTTGGATTAATTTTAATACACTAATTTAGTTCTTTTTTAATACTATTGCATAAGAAAAAGAATGTTAAATCATTTATTTAATACCATTTTTTAAATTAATATTTAAGGTATTTAATACAAGCTTAACAATTTGAATCAAAAAGTATCAGTTTTAGCTCAGATTTTGAACTAGATTTATATATTTAAACTTAAATAAGAATTTTAAATAGTTTTCCTAAATTTATTGATTAGATTTTTAGTTTCTATTCGTACTAATTTATTGATTTTATCCATTAATTAAAAATACTTATATTTTATTAACTATTTATTTTAAATATTCTTAATTATTTTTATGTCTTTAATGACCTTGTTAAAAATGATTAAATATGCATTATATTTCCAATACAGTATATTTTTTCATTTAAGTCATCTGAACAAAATAAATGGTATAAGTACATACTTTTTAAATATTTTATTTATATGATTCATAATTGTGTTTATATTAGGAGCATGCAATTTTTTTTTTTTAACACAAATAATAAAAATATTAAATATTTTGTGTATATAAAAAAATGCTTATTATAATATGCTATTAATTTATTATTGTATGTTTAACATATAATATAATTTATATTTTGCATCCTTATAACCTTGTTAACGACACAACTAAAAAAATAAAAATTTTTTAATATTATAGTATCTAATATTAATTCATGATTTAAAATAAATATTAGTTTATTTTTTAAACCAAATCACAGTTGAAATAATTGAAATGAGTTAAAATGCAGTTTGGCAATATATGTCATACTAATATTACATGGCAATAAAAATGTAGTTGGGAATAATTATTTAAACAAAATATAAATGTATGATCCAAGTAATATAAAATATACAATTATTTTATATGTGTAGACTGTAGATAACAGGTAGGTGAAAATTTTTTATTAATTTATTAATTTTTCAATATTTTATCAATAACAATGCAAGCATATAACATACTATACATGATGAAGTATACTATTTAATAAGTATGACTGATTTCACTTGTACTTTCTTATAATTATGGACTAGATGACTATTTTGCCATTAAGGTTGTTAGTATTTGTTTTGAAAATTAGAATTTATATTAGATTATGTTTTATAGATTATTTGATTTCAACTGTATACAATATAATTATATAAAAATTTTGCATATTGTAATTATTCGCTGGTGATCTCCATCAAGTATTTATCTACTATCTATTGATGCATTAAATAAATAATAAGCACCAAGGTTATTCAATATTTTATTTAAATAAATTATTGAAAATTTGACTATTCAGTAGTAATATTATATTTAGATTGAAACATTGATAATAACAAATGTTATTTACTACAAATCCATATAGGTACATAGGTACTTCCCTATATTTCATACTACTGTACAAAGAATAAGAATCAAAATATTTTCTGAATACGTCGTTATGCGGACGTTAGCTATACAGAATATTACCTAAATCAATATCATGTGTTGAATACTATGTATACATTTGTCTTGCCCGTTTTTCCGGTCAAGTATACGGATAGTATAATGATGAGTATACCGATGTACAGACAGAATTTGGATAGCCGCTATAAATACCTAATACAAATTACGAGCGTGTAAGACGGAGATGACATAAACAAATGTTATGCCATAACTATCACCTTAAAAAACATTAAGTTAAAATTGATTGGTATGAATTTGAAAAAAAAATGTTTGGCAGTTTTTTGGTGTGTTATCAACAAGAACATACCATACCTACTATTATGTCGATGAACAGATACAAAGAATTATTTATTTAGGTATTCCTTTGTTCAATAGTAGCGAGGTTCCTATTTTTACATTTCATTGATTTTACATTACGTAAACGCGCCTAGTGAAAACATACAGTTACCAGTTGTTTGCCGTTTGGTTGGTATTGTTTAAAATCTAGCTCATTTTTAATTACCTAGTTACTTACAATTATTTATAAATAATTGAATAATTGAAGTAGTAGGATAATTAAACCGGTAGGTATCTGTTCAGACGTTCAAATAATGATGGCAAATTCTAAATTTTTTATATACTCTACTTATTTCCAAATTATTAAACTTAATTTCAATTTCAATTTTTTTTTTTTTTGTTGAAAATGTATTGATATTAATAATACGAGTAGATTAATATAGATAGTGAATTAAGTTATAAAATGAATATAAATCTAATTATTATTAATGTGTATTTTTTTGTTTCGATTATTTTTATGTTATATTGTTCTAATTATTATTTTTGATGTTTTGATTATTTATCATTTATTGTTCTACTTAGTGTTGACACTTCTTACAATAGTAAGACATTTTATGAAAACTATTAGCCTATAAAGTCAGAAAAACCTCCCAAAATATTAATAATTATTTCTACTCGTAAATATTAATTTTCTTTGCTTTTTAAATATTAAAAAATTTTCAATAAAAATTTATACACAATCAATCATGAACCATTTGATTACCTTTATGTAAATTATTAACAAACAAATGCATTATAATACAGTATATTTGTATGCTTGTATGTAAAATAAGTTAAATATAAAAACGACCAATAAGTCTTTTGTTGGTTGATTAATTATTAATATTATTTATTTTTCTTTACTTATATTATGCACGTATACATCTTTCGAGTTCTGTCAACGTATTAAAAGGTTTAAACAATAATTAAAGAAAGCTCTAAATTGAAAGGTAAATATAATTTATTTAAATTGTTACCTAATTAACATCCTAACCTGTATATATTTTTATAAAAAACGATCTCGAGAGATAATGAGTAAATTAGATACACAATACACAAAAAAAGAAAGAACACACTAATAATATACGCGAGGAGAAAGGTCATCCGGTGATAGAACCCCACGTTAAGTGAAAATTATTACTTATTGGATGATACAATTTCATGATAGCATTTTATATTTTTTAAATATTAATTTATTGTCTAATATCGGGTTTCAAATTCACTACATTATAGTTACTGTTCAATACGCTGTATAAATTCTGGTACCTAATACCTAAAAATTTGAAAAATTATTTTGTAATAATAAATAAATATACATATAAGTATACTCTTTTCACGGCCCTTCTCTGTTTTTGAGTGTGTTTTGTTGGGAGAGTATGGCATTACTATTTACTGTATGCGTTTATACTTGAACGATCATCTTACCGGCGCCCATGTCCCGCGCTTATGATTATAATATTACCGATAAGTTTTGGCCTTTGAGTACACTTACTCTCACTCGCAAAGGGTTTTCGACGAAAATGTATCTTTTCTATTAGGGTTTAGGCGAAAATCTCAGAACCGTGTCTTATTTGTTATGTTCGGCTGATGAGATTCCACTTTGAAGTGTACCTATCTTTGCTTAACATTTTACCTGGCACATTTTAAAAGTAATATTTTTAGAATTAAAAATATCTCGACAACGAACTTTCGAAAATGCCGCACTCTTTCGTGTTTCTATATGAAGCATTTGTCAACTAATACAATAATACCGGATTCGAGGGGTTTGTTTAGCACTATTAATGTCACGCCACGGATGTTTATATTGTCGTATTTAGTTGGAACATCATTCCTATGTTTGTATTTTTAGCGTATGGGCACTGACAAACATTGAATACTGAGGCACATAGGTTAGGTTGGTCATATATCTGCAGGTACCTCTATTCTGTGAAATGCACTTAGTTTTTTCTGTAGATACAACGGTCAAAGGTGGAAAGAGATCAATAATAACATATCATAACATACAACGACTGCACCGCGAAACGTCACGACGTGTCATCTGGCATTGATTGGGTAACCACTACTAACACATTCTAAAATAAACTATTATTTTTTACTATTGCTATTTGAACGTTTGCGCCGATTATTATATTAATCAGTAATTTATATAAACACTGTTTGTCGATAGTCGACGTGGTGTGTATATCTACGTGGGTACGTAGAGTTTGGTAGCTGTGCGTAAAATTGTAATGTCTCATAACTGTACACCTTGTCTATCTGTTTGCAGTATTCAAGCGGAGTGTTTCGACCCACACGAAAACTTTTTCGGCGTTTTCGGGACGGATGGACTCATTCCACATACTCAACTACGAAGACATCGATTCGCAGTAAAACAATATGATCTCCCGTCTTTGTATTTGATATAATAATAGGTTACACAAAACATACACATACATACATAACATATTTATAAATACTACTTATTTTGTCTATTTATGATTTTGTTTAAGATTTTATTTTCATAGTTTTATGATACTATATTCACTCATTATACTTTTCTCGTAGCCACTTAGTGCTTTTAATACAGGTACCTAATCTTACCCAATACACATCCGTATAATATATAGGTGGTATATTATAGTATATATCATGTGATATGCTATAATGATATAATATTGTAGATTGTAATATTATTTATCATATTATTATTAACTGTTAAATACGATTCTACAGAGATCAAACGTTACTTTGAGGAATTTTTCTTTTTTCTTTTGAAAGTTTTATGCGAGTATGTGTTGCCAAAAGTCCATTAAATTATATTGAAGCTCGAATTATACACATCAATGATAAAATTATTAAACGGCTATTTTCTAATAAGAAATAGAGTATAAATTATTATTTTATTGTAATAATTTTGTATGGTATGTTATTATTGAACGATAATATTAGCAATACCTACTATATAATATATTGATTATACATACTTGCGTCTGTAGTCAAATATTGTAAAATAGCATGATTTTTGGTATCAGAGTATTTGGATTAATATACATTAAACATAATATGTCTATATTTATACACTTTATAGAATCTAATAAAATGATAAAAAAGATATTATGTGTTATATTATTTTTAATTCAATATACCTACAGCAAGTAAGTACCTACTTACGTAATTGATTTTCTACGGATAAAAATAAAAACAATCATATGTTTACAAATGCTTTTAATATATTAAAATGGGTTATTACTTATTTAATTTACAGACTGCACAGTGCACGATACACGTATACTTTTAAATTTAAAATTTTAAGTTATAACAATTACATGTTAATGCTTTAATAGGTATAATATCGTTAAATACTCAAATGAATAAATGAGTGTATAAAAAGTATTCGATATCATGTCAATAATTATATAATTCGCATTTTCTACTCGCGTCTAAATATGTGTAAGGTCCGGGCCACACGATGTGTTATTGTCGCATGCCCATACAGTGCCTAAAGATTATAACTCATGCAGTATTTTGAAGTTTATTGTAAATTCGACATCACGACAATTAAAATTTTAATTACATCGATTACATTTGCAATTAACCAAATTAATATTTGTAGAATTTGAGTGGAGTGATAAATGTAGTTAGCAGTTGATAGGTTATCTATACCACAGATTGAATATAGTACCTATATTTATAGTATATTTGTATACTTAATCTTATTTGTATTGAGTCAACAGTGATGGGTGTTTATTTCTTGTTTTATGTTTCAGTTTTCATCTTTTCTGATAGAAAATTAAATGTGGTTAGTATTTCGGACAATAAAAAAATAAAAAATACTCATTACTTTTTTTAATATTTGAAAAATAAATAAGGAGAAATGGGAATTTTTAATAAACAAATTAAATTAGTAGTAGACAAAATCGATTTTATTATTTTACTGTAACTAAAAACCCAATTATCGTAGATTGTAGATACTTAAATTTTTACTAAATATTTACATTAATGTTTTTTATGTATGTTGCAATTTAAAAAATATTTTGACTTTTTTGAGCAATTTCGATAAAAAAATGTTTGCTGGGTAAAAGCTTGACAATTTAATACAAGGCTCCCTATTGATAGCAGAGAGACATCAAGGTTTTTTATTTTAATAGAAGTGCATATTTTTTTACTATAGAAATTAAAAATATCATTTTTTTAAATAAACCAGAACAAATAAAAAAAAATAAATATATATCATAATTTTTGATAATAATTATGAAAAATAACGTGCTTTGGATCATTTCGTTTGTTATGTAGGTACAATATAATAATTGCCAATTGGTAACGAATAACAATAAATAATCTACTTGACTAATCTCCATTGTCAACTCGGTCGCAATAATGACAAACACATATGCCAATTATCTCCGAAAATTTTTTTTTAAAATAATTGACATTATTGAATCCATGGTATTTAATTCACATTTTACACTATTATTATATAGTTTGGTTATACACTTAAACGTAATTAGGTATTTTTTGTATGTATTTAGGTACTTTTATTTATGTATTGTACGTAAATCAAATCGATAGGTATAAATAAAATATTTTAAAAACAAATTTGGTTTCGAGTTTGTATGTCATAATCAATTTTGTAATAATTAATTACCCAAAATCAAATTTCGTGTGAAGACTTCACATTTATTTTATGTTAACAATTTAAATAGTAAATAAATACCTATCTAGCTAAATATATATATATAAATATAGAGCTGTAATTTTGGATTTTAATTAGATAATGAAATAAATAATAGTAGGTTAAAAACTACAACATCGACAATTTTAGAATGTTAGATTTATTATTAAAACATTTCTTAATGTTTTAAAAAGAATTACAAGTTGTATGTACAGTGAAACATTTAAGAAGTAGAATAGTTTTTGAGTTATTGCCAATAAATATGTCAACATTGAACATTTATAACTTTTTATTTTAAAGTTAATCTAGAAAAATTTTATTTGTTCTTAATATATAAATAATAACTATATGATGAAAATCGATTGCTATTTCTTGTGTATAAAACTAATATATTATTTAATTTTGTTAGTACGAAAAAACACACATTATAAATACTCGTCTATATTATGAATTTAAACAGTTCTTTTTTTAGTCAAGATATGAATCGAGAAATATATACGTTTTATTATAATTTTTTATATTAAGCATACTATATAAAATTTTGTATGAAAAATAAGGGTGAAACAAACGTACAAAATGTTTTACAATTCAAGTATGTAACTATATTTTTTTTTTAAATTTTATTAGATTATTAAAGAATAAAAAATGTATTTAAAACTAAATTATTTTGAGTTCTAAGCAAAAGCATATATCATTAGTAAATTATAATGTATATTTAATAACTAATATACAATATATTAGATATCTAATAAAATGTCATTATCTAAACCTTACGTGATTCTTACTGTAAAGGTGTTTAAATTAAAATTAAAATTGGCAAAAACTTAAAACTTTAAACTTAAGATAATATACTCGTATATTATATACATACATGCATCATTTATGCTATTATGATCCCTATTAACTATCATATAATCATACACGTTTATATAATGTAAATAATATATCATTTACCAAATATGTTCATCTCCATCTTTCCATTGAATAATGCATTTATCAAAATTCTGATACTCTGAATTTTTAAATATGCTTAAAGAACATAATTTAAAATTCTTGAGATTTTTTGGTATTACTTGAGGAATGTTTTGTGGTAATTTAAACTTTTTATTTTTCAGATGAGTTTCCATCTTTATGTATTTCAATAGAAAACTTCTTAAATAGTACAACAAATTGAATAATTTGAAAATATAGTCTTTATGTATATTAAAACATTTCAAAAATGAGATTTTGAATAATTGAAAGTTATTGTAGAAGAAAAAACGGGGGCAAGAATTCTTGGTGAATCATTATGTATACATTTAATGTAATACAATTTTTAATTCAATCTGCCTGATGAGAAACATTTATGATATAAACGTTAAAAAAAATGTAAAAAATAGTAGCTAACTACAGTTATATTGGCGTTTAATAATTATTAGAATTTTAATGGTCTGGTTTAATATTTTATTATGTTACTCCTATAATTATATTATTCTGCTGCACGCATGTAATTTTCTACAATGATCCATCCAGCTATAGTAGTCCTTGTCTGATGAAAAAAAGCTTTAGGTTTGTAGTACTAGCTGCAACGGGTTTCGTGAGTTAAAAAAACAACAGGTCTACTATTTATTCTTTAATGGCGAATGATAATGTTATTTACAATATTTCGAAGATTTTAAGTGTACTACGGTCATATATTTTTGTATAATAAGTAAATATACACTATATAGAACATAGGTGTATATTAAAGATTTGTACAGTGTATTATTATATTATTATATATAATTATAAAACCTAACAGGAATAACAGGAATCACTTGGGGAAAAAACACGATTGTCATCATGCAATTAACAAATTAGACGCATTATATACTAAAACTAGCTTAAAAATATTTATCCTCGTGCAAAAATCTCTAAAGTATCGTGTTATAACTATTAATGATATACAGGTATTGCAATACAATAATTACATAAAAAATTAATTAAATCTTAAAATGTAGGATTTACGATTCAATATTAATCTTTTAAATTTGATTCGAATTCAATTCAAACGCGCGGACAAATTATCTCGAAAGAGTCCTTGGGCCGCAGGTTAAAATAGTTGTGAACAGGTAAATCAATTGAAAACCACCAATTATTTTTTACGGTAACCTATCTATTAATTATTATGTAACTGCAGTAGCGAAATATCTTGATTTTATTAAAATCTGTAATAGTTTTATTTATGCTGTATTCTATTGTTTTCTATCAATATGTATAATGTATATATAAAATATTTAAATTTCTAATAGCTTACAAAGTTATTTCTTAAGCTGCAGTTTTTATATACATATCTAACATGATTTTCTATAATAATAAAATAAATACTTAATGCGTTATAATAAAACCATTAAAATCATTAAAATATAAGAATTGCATTAAAATTGAATTGATTCTAATGTAATTGAAATGAACAAAACCAAAGTCGAGTTATAAAAAAAATCCTCAATAATATGTGCTAATATTCACTGTTAAGTTTATGTTTGTGTAATCATATGTGATATGTATACTAAATGAAGTGGTAACATTATCTCTTTAAAATTAATAAGTGACAAATACAGGTACTTATCTTATCTACCTACTTGTTATTTTTAATTATGAATGCTAAAGATTGTATTATTATCTAGTTTTTATGGCCTTAAAAGCTTTTAGCTCATTTTCATACTTAATGATAAAATTGCAATTGTTATCAATTTTATTGAATTTTATACTTTTATGAATCGCAAATATTAAATGCAGTTTTTTATGTGTCTTTACAATTGTTATTTCGAATGCATTATTTAAAATTTTACATTAAAATGTAGGATGACATGTGAATATAGGCCTATAAAATCAATTATAACTACTCTGATAAAGTTTTCGTGTTGTGGACAGTCTGATTATTTTTAGTTTTACATTAAATATGAAAAAGGATGACGTATTAATGTATTATAACATTTATAACTATAATTATAGATTATTGACGCTTTTTATTATTTATTTATTGTTGTATATTATGAATAATAAATATTGTATTTAATGATTTAAATCTTAAATCTGCATTAAACAGTTTTATATTGTTTAGTGATTATTAATATTAATTTTTGTATAAAAGTAAATCTAATTTTTTTTTTTTACAGATTGTTATGAACTTTAATATAAAAATAACAGGAGAAGTTGTTCTGATACCTAT